CTCCTACGGAATCCTGCGTCCGGATCTGTCAGTGACGAAAAGCTTTTCTTTCTTACAGAGAACCTTGAAAGGTCCATCGTATGGTGGCTGTAAGGGTTTACGTACACCGTCACAACGCACAAAGACGTGAGTGCAATCTTGGAGTCTTTTATCCAACTGCACCCGCCACATTGTATCCGTGTAAATGGAGGTTGTAGGCAACCCATGTGTAATTTAAGAGTTTGCGCATAGCCATGTATACTGGCAGGAGTTGGGTCACCACAATCTGAAGCGACCATTTCGCCGGCAAACGTAAGTTACTACGGTAAACCAACTCAGCAGGTGTACACTGTATATCCGTCTTAAGCGTAGAACGAATGCTGAGAAGAACCAACGGCAGAGACTCAGTCCATTTCATATTGTCGACTGCTATTAGTGCGCTCTTAAGGTGTCGGTGGAATCGCTCCACCAAACCATTGGAAGCTGGATGATATGCGGTAGTGCGGATGCGTTTGCATCCCAACAGATTCATCAGCTTCCGGAAGGTAGCGGATTCGAACTGTCGGCCTCTGTCGGTTGTCACGGTGAAACGGCATCCAAACTGTGAAACCCATCCTCCGACGAAGACCCGACTTACTGTTTCGGCAGCAATGTTAGACAATGGGATGGCCAACGGCCAGCGAGTAAACCTATTGACCCATGTCAGTAGGTAACTATATCCATCGGAGGGTGGAAGTGGGCCAACAATGTCTAAATGGACATGAGCGAATCGTGAGTCCGGTTTGGTGAAAGTTCCAAGTGGTGGGACGCTGTGATGACTCACCTTGGAACGTTGGCACCAAATACATGACCGTGTCCAGTTTCGAACATCACGGTTAATACCAGGCCATACAAACCCAGTAGATATCAGTTTGTCAGTAGCATGGATACCAGGATGCGAAAGACTGTGCAAAGCATCAAAAACATGCTCACGCCAGGGTGAAGGAACAACTAGTCTAGGTGTGCCTGTGGAGACGTCGCATAATATTGTCCCTTCGCCGTTCAGGAGCGGTAAACGGATTGTCTTCAGAGAAGCTGTGTGTTGGAGTTTTTCAATCTCCTCGTCTGAATCCTGAAGTTCAGCAACCTTCCATAAGTCAACTGCTCGAGGTAAAGTAGTGGTGCAAACGCGAGACAATGTGTCTGAGGCAGGGTTATTCACACCAGAAATGTGACGGATGTCCGACGTGAATTGCGAAATATAGTCCAGATGACGTAATTCATGCGATGAATATCTGTCGGTGGTGGTGTGTAAGGCGTAAGTCAAAGGTTGATGGTCGGTAAGGATGGTGAAATCACGACCTTGCACAAAGTGACGAAAATTCTTAACGGAGGCATATGTGGCAAGCAATTCCCGGCAAAAGGTGCTGTGCCGCATTTCGCAGGTGGATAGCTTCGAGGAGAAGAATGCAACTGGGATCCAAGTGTGATCCAGAAATTGTTGCAATGCGACTCCATTGGCAGTGTTAGAGACATCAACCGCAATGCTAAGAGGCAGGTTTACGTCCTGATGCAACAACATCGTGGCATCTGCTATTGCTGTTTTGATCTTGCGAAATGCGTCTAGTGCCTCCGGAGTCATGCTGAAAGTTTTGCATTTACTTTTCAGCAGGTTGGTCAGCTCAGTCAAAACGTGAGCACACTGAGAGACAAAACAGCGATAATGGCTCACCAGAAATGCATGCAGAGCTTTGGGTGACATTGGGACTGGAAAGTGTTGGATCGCCTGTACTTTTTCAAGTAGTTGGCGAATGACCTGCTCGTCAATAACATGTCCCAAAAATTTCAGTGATTGAACGCCAATCTGTCATTTAGCCCGGCTGACTGACATCGAATGCTCTGGCAGTCTGGCAAAGGCCTGCTTCAAGTGGTTAAAATGGGTGTCTTCATCTGGACTAGTGATTGGTATGTCGTCTAAATAGGCATAGGCGAAGTCTTATCCACGTAAAACATCGTGAATAAAACGTTGGAAGGTTTGTGCGGTGTTGCGAAGACCAAAGGGCATGCGAAGAACCTCAAAGAGGTCTACCGGTGTAATAACGGCCGTCATCATCAGGATGAACTAGGATCTGATTTGCAAGCGTCAGGTCAAACTTACTGAAGGTAAACGAACCTTTTAAAGATGCAGTCAAGTCGTGTATGTGAGGGGCTGGGTAACGATCTGGAATCGTCTTAGCGTTTAGCCTTCGGTAGTCGCCACAAGGCCTCCAGTCCATACCATTGTTCTTGGGTACCACATGCAAGGGTGAAGACCATGGACTGTTGGATGGTCTGATCATTCTCATTTCGAGCAAGTGTTCAAACTCAGCTTTTACAGCTCACAGTTTCTCCGGGATAATCGCCGTGGTTTCGCAAACGCTGGCGGGCCAGTCGTCGTTATGTGATGAGAAACCTTCGAAGTCACACAAGGTACACAACGACTTGGCTTAAAGGCATCCGGAAATGACTGAATGATGGACGCGTAGGGACTAGAAGCGTCCGTCGTGCAGTACATGGGACTGAGGGGCGGCGTCTTTGTGACTATACCGAAAACAGGGAGTGTTGTGGTAGAATCTATCAACTTATGCTTGCCAGCATCTACCAGCAGCTGGTAGTGCTGTAAGAGATGCATACCAGTAATACCGGTGGTCACATCCGCCGCTATGAAAACCCGACGGAAGGGACGACGCAATCCAAGGTTGAGGTCGAGGAATCTCCTACCATAGGTTGTGATGGGCGAACCGTTGGCGGCACGAAGTTGCAGAGACATTGGCCGCAGACGCTCTTCCTTCGTAGGTGGGATGACGCTAGCTCCCGCCCCAGTGTCAACTAGGAAGCGTATCCCAGAATGTCGATCAGTGACGTATCATGTATCATGCTCACCAGAGACGTTAGTCGCTGCCACGTGCTGGCTCACACGTTTCCCGTCTGGTTAGCCTCGAAGGTGCAAGGTCGAGTGCACCTTTTGGCATTGGCACCATGACGTTTATGATACCAGCACAACCCGGGTTGGGATTGTCACGATTTGGAACGCCTGCTACCAGTACGGGAGGCAGACCTGTCGCGCGAGCGAGGCGTGCGACTTTTGGAAGCACTACCGGACCGCATTTCGTTCCTGATGCTGCACAACTCCTCATACAATTTCGAGATGTGAGGTATAACATCGAAACTTGTTGGCTCACCAGCCGAGGGAGGATCCGTGGGCGAATCCGTGGCAGTAGATAATGCAGCTGAGATACTAGTGTTGGGTTTCGTAGCATCCACAGCTCTGTCAGCCGCTTCCGCCAGCTCTATTAAGGGACACTTATGGGAGGCCGCGAGGATCCCTTGAACCGACTGTGGTAACCTCTGTAACCACAGTTGCTTGAGAAATGCTTCATCAATGTTGAAGTCAGCAATCAGCTGCTTCATCTGACGAAGCAGTTGCGTCGGCTTACGATCACCCAGATGCACATCCCTGAAAAGTTCTTGCACTTTCTGCTGGTCAGTAAGTGCAACACGTTTGATGAGGGCGGTTTTGAGGCGATCGTAAAGATTCGGTGCTGGGTCATCTAGCACATGTGAGACGTCTTCGATCACATTTTCGGGTAAGCTGACGATGACTAAGTTGGACTTGGTTTCTTGTGATTGAATGTGTCTCAAGGCAAACTGAGCTTCCACATGGGAGAACCACGCAGATGGTCTGTGGGCACAGAAGATGGGAAGCTGGGGGGTTACGGCCATCCGCGCGGTCTAGTCGTTATCAGCCACTGATCAGGGAATTAAAGAGGCACGATGGTGATAATAGTAATAATAAATCTCAATGCAAAAATAACCAATGAGGAGTGCAATAAAAAAACGCGAGACTGCCAAAAACAAAAATAGGCCAGATAAATCAACGGAAGAAAAACAAAGGTACTAGACAAAGAAGTGATACTCGGGCTCACCAACTCGTAGGGGTGCGTGTTACAATTCCGTAACGTTTGATCAACCCTACTTAACCAGTACCTTACCTGACGTGTAAGTACTGATAACAAAACACAAATCAAAAGAACTGATACGCAATGTATTTGAAGGAACTATGTATTTAATCAAAGTAAAGGTAGCAATAATGAATTGGCTTGTAAGGCTGAACTAAGGACTCGGAGTACGTGCGTAGTAACCAGCACAATGGAGCACAAAGTGGCGTCCAAGCCTGCTCGGATGCATGCTCGTTGAAACAAAACTTAAAACACCCTGAGTATCCGGAGACAAGCTAGAGATTTATTTAGTTAATTTAATTTAAACTATTTATTTTAGCCCTAGTTATCTTTTGGGGCCAGGAAGGTGCACTACAGCCCCAGCAAAATATCTAGCCTTGGTTTCTGCTTTTCCCTATAATCCTCAGTCAAACAGTCAGTTTCGGTCTTATTGATTAGAGCAAGAAGCACTTACATTTTTATCTCTGCCAAGGTCTTAACTTGATTTTATCTTTTGTTGTTTCATTAATGTTCCTTTTGTTATTATCATCTTCACCTTCCGCTAGAGGAATCCCCGTACTCTTAAATCGTCATCATTACTATTATTAATTTTGCGTCTATCATTTGACTATCTGAGATAGCCGTAGTCTGGCAGACCATCACTTATACTGCAGAGCGATTGAAGGTGAGGCGAAAATATTGACCGCAGCTGGATTCGAACCAGCGACCCGGTGCTTTGCCAACTCACCTGCGAGGTACTGTGTATATCATCCACGACAAAAGAGCAGAGGTGTACAAGCACGACGATATATCAGTACCAGAGTTCGAAAAAGTTCCTTTTATAAGTTCCGTAAGAAGATAATAAGAATGAAGAATGATAATAAAGATTCCATCCAAGTGTCACAGACGCCAATCTCACTACTTAGCGACATAAAAGCTTTGGGACTTTGAACATTTATATTAGGCAATCCACGATAAAAGAAAATAATCCTCCTAGATTTCCGAAATTATAATAGCAAGCTGTAACTTCTTCATTCAACAACATCAGGCTTCACGAATCCTATTGTTTAAAGTCGTTTCCCTTTCAAGCCACAGTTTTGAAAACGATGTCGCGTGACGGAAAGTAAGCACTTTAGTTATTAGTGTAATTCTTTAGAACGGGGGTTCGGCTTATGCGACCTGGTGTCGTCGTGCTTGTATTAGCTGGACGCTATGCAGGGAGGAAAGCAATTGTTATTAAAAGTTACGATGAAGGTTCTGGAGAAAAGCCTTATGGTCATGCTCTTGTTGTTGGCATTGATAGATATCCAAGGCGTATTCTCAGAAGAATGGGAAAAAAAAGGATGGAAAGTCGGTGTAAAATCAAGCCTTTCATTAAAGTTTTGAACTACAATCATCTAATGCCTACAAGACATTCAGTCAACATCATATTCGATACCAAGGTGATAAATAAAAACGCTCTGGTTGATAAATCATTGCGCAAAAAGGCCAGGATGGAAGCTAAGCTGAAATTGCAACAGAGGTAACTGTTCACTTTCCTTATTCAACTTACATCAGGTATAAATCTAATGAAAATCCCTGGTTCTTCCATAAACTTCGTTTCTAACGGACAAATTTTATAATTGTCGTCGTGATTGCAATAAACTGGTAAAGCAGTGCCATTGATTATTGTTTTTCGATAGCTCATGCCTTTGCGCTCTAGAAGTTTGCTTAAGCATTTCGTGGGAACCTGTAGGTCATGATTAGGTAGCTTTGGCTCACTTGTTGAAAAAACGAGTCTCAGTATCAACAAATAGGTCACGGGTTTGAACACCGCTACACCTGCCGAGGTTTATGCAGACAGATAGTATTATTAACCTACTCACACACAGCATGCCTACCTTACGAATGTGCACAGGGTTACGGGCCAGAATGAAATTTCAAAAAATTTTCTGTGGCCCCACTAGTTGTTCGCCCAGTTTTTTGTAGTGGATTCACAGTTGTAACTTGAAAGTAATCCATCCTCCGAGCTTAGCAGTGCATCGCTCGTGTGTCGATAAACTCAGTGTAGTAGCCTGTGATACTTATTCTGAGCAAGAGGCAGCTAAATGTCTTAGACTAAGATCATCACCAAAACTTAGGGAGTCACGCTTGCAAGAAAGGTCTGCAGTTGAATAATACCTCGTGTTTAACTATTACTTTTCCTCTTGTTCACACTGCCAGAGCATGTGCATAAGCTCATGTTGACCTCTATAATAATGTAAATTTGGACTATTTTCCAGTCCACAGGGAGTTTAAATCTTTTTCGTTTATCATCTGGGATAATGAGATAAATTTCTTGATCGTTTGTCTGCTTAGTACGTTGGCAGGTGGTCGATATTTAGTGAATCTCTGAACAAACGAATTCCTTTCTGTCAGTACTGGTGGTTGGATGGACTTCTTGGTGTGGACATTTGTTTTCAAAGTATCATCTAGTATATTAGTTCTTTCGGTCCAGCTCCTCTTTGTGGTCCGTACTTAGTAAGGAATCTGTAATGTTAGTTGTTTCTGGGTCTTCAGTGAACACTTCTTTGCAAACAAGTTCATTAGAGTAGCTGGATTCAAGCACAGAAAAGTGTCATCAGTTTCGCTCGCGTCATGATTTCTAACTATGGCTTACATTTCTAGACTGCATATTAAGGTTCGGATAAAATAACGCCTACCTGTTGAAGGTATCCCGAATGACTTCAATAAAATAACAGCCATATCCATAAGAGTTGCGAAACGCTACTCATTCTTGTATCGAACTGGCAGTGAGTAGGCGTTTGACACCAATTTCATCAGAATATTTGTTTTTGTGAATGCGCATTTAGGTCTGTCTAGCCTTTGTCTTTTCACTGCACTACGTCATATGATTAGTCTTTAATGGCAAACACTCACTTTGTTCATTCTTTGACGTGTTCAGTTCGCAACCGGGGATCTATCTTCAGGATCTCGAGTCAGCTTAGCTAATCCATAGCTGCTCTAAAAATGTCATTTGAAGAGTGATTCACACCAAGTCCGTGCTTTATTTGAGAAGCTGCTTCAGGATTATTCACAGATTTGTTGCTTATGTAGCATCGAATCTCATGAAAGAAGCAGCTTTTCTTTTGTAACTCTAGATTTCTGCTTTCCAGTTCATATGGTTAAAACGCGACATCAGCATTTTTCCTTATTTGAGGAGGAAGGTGATTACACTTCTGCATATCCGTATTGAAACTGCGTGAGACCGAGCTCAAGTATCGTGTTTTAATAAGGCAGTGTACTAAGGGCTGAATTATCGATTTCTACTGTCCAGGTTGACACGGGATTGGTCTAGTTACTACGGGTTTGTTCAATTCTGGATAGTTGTACACTTTTGTCTGAAAGCTCGAATTGTCCAGTTTTTCTCTGCTGGTATGATATTTATGCATGGAATTTTCGTTACATTAATTAACGCTTGCGGAAAGCCAATCTCTTCCTAAAAACGGTCTTTAATATCGTGTTTCCTTAGAATTCAGGTTAGTAGCGATTAGGAATTAAATATTGAGTTGTCTTATTCAGAATGTTGACAGTGATACCTGCGGGCAATTAGATGAAAATAACTGCATGCATGGGATGATTAGGTAAACTCACTGAGTGTTGCTAGAATGTGCCGAGAAAGCTCTACCATTGTCTGTAAATGTATGAAACAAATCATATCGATACAGGTGTTTGTGTACAATTTTTCTATGTAAAGGACTGCGATACGACTGCCTATGTTGAAGTGTACTGAGGGGGTCTAGTTGTTTAAAAGTTGAGCGCCTAACCGTATGAGTCACATCTTGATGGAGGCACATGGATTTAAATAGATGGATATGGTTTCTGTAAACTGGACTGTCCCAATCCTGTCGTAAATAAAAGTGTGGCTTCGAAACGCACCTTCATTTTGTTCATTTGGTAGAGAATGCCTATGACCTGGAAGCGCGATGTAGACAATCCTGAGTGTGTTTATAACAGTTTCATTTATGAAGTATTTCAGCTTCTATATTTGTAACGGAGTTCGAAGATTTTAAATTTGTATTCTGACCTACCGAAATACGGTAGTTTACTATATATCTCCTAATATTCCCCCTCAGTGCTACCGAATCATCGGGAAAGTACATGTGACCAGTAAGTTCTTCAAATTGGCTTATTTCACTATTCTTATTGCACATGAAGTTGTTATTAATTATTGGAATAGATTCAGTAAATCGAGAGCAAAATTGAACTGGTCCAACTTTGAAGTTACGAAACTTGAAATGACTACCAAGATCCAATTCCCCCTGGTGGTGAATACTTCGCTTATATACATGGTTGTGCTGTTTTCATGTAGTCGCTGCAGATAACGTCTTCAGCTGTTTGATAGGTGTTGAGGTATTAAACCCAGTAGGTTCTGGCAACTTCTGGAAGTACATCAATGTTAATTTTTCTCCTATAAGTGCACAATAACTCATTGATTTAAGCAATCAAGTTTGTAATAGCTGGTCACGAGTTTGAGGGTTAACTATTTAGGCAATGTTGACAGCCTTCACACAGTTATGAATAAATGCCTAGTGTATGGACATATATGGTCTTTAAGTTACTTTGAGGACGGCATTATCGGATTACAACCAAAGCATCGGAACCCGGTTTCCCACCAGAAGGTTTTAAGGATAGGAGTAGCAAGGTACTGCATAGTATAATCCTGTTAGATTAGTCTGCATCACCGGTCATTTCAGCTTGTATTGCAAAATAATTCTTGTGACAGCCACGGAGTCATCCCGACTAAAATCCTGTCCAGGACCTTAGGGTCCATAGTTTTCTTACACTTACCTGGGGATGGATAACAAATTCGGGGAAACCGGGCAGTTTTCAGCCCTAGACGAGAGTGCATCGTTCAGATCTTCATCCTTCGGCAGCTTTAGGGAAATCTATACTCATTGGCGTGCGGAAAGTGTTGTCAGTCTGACTGAGTACCGAGCAATTATGTAGTGCTAATCAAGGTTCTGAGGGCGTATTTGAGTTGTCATTTGCAGTAGTGAAGATCAAAGAAGCTCATTGTTACCAGTTTTGTTACAAACATACTTTCGGAATTAACACTAGGTACTTTTGATTTCGCAGGGAATGACACTACATGGTTCGCTTAGAGCTTGCATATAACAGTTCTGTTAGGCGAAGACACTAACAAAATGGAGTCTTCTAAAAGTACTGAGCAGAAAGCTTTGTATGTTTGACATGCGTCCTGCACCTGTCAGATGTAAGATTACTCTTCCAGACAGGTCTGCAGCAACTCCACATTTATGGATTGAGAGGGAAGTGGTGGGATGCGTCGGCCACTCCACTTACTTGAGGAGTTGCATCAACCCGAATGGATAACTTGCTGACGTAATTTCAGCTCCCGACCGATAGCTGCTACCTTGGCGTGGTGGTCGGGCTTGCATATCACAATGACCCAACGAGCTATGCTGGTGGAACGCTTGTTCCCTCGAGGTCCTACCATACCAGAAAGGTCTGTTGGGTAGTGGTTAGACGAAAAGCAGTTACCGTTATAGTGTAAATTGCTACACTATGATGGGGGTCTGAGGGCGAAGTCGTACTGCTGCTAGCTGGATGGGGTGTGACAGCAGTAAGGTGTTTCCCTTGGATGACCAGCAGTGCCATGCTGATGCTGCCTTCTCAGTGGAAGGGGGGTTAGAAAAGGTCGGCCCCAAAAATAACACACTCCACCACGCCCCACGGTCTGCCGGGCCGGCGGTGTTGGTTCACTTGTCGTTTCCTTTCGACTATCCGGCCCCAAAAATACAAAAATTCAAAATAATCATACTCAAAAGGCTGGGTGTGACAGGCCTCAAGCAGATGTCCGATGGGCTCTGCGGTCACACAAATCTCTTTCAGGTACCTTAAGAAGAAATAGCCTTCCACGGTGTGGGCAGCCGGGAAGTGTCAACCGCCCTCACAACTCTGTCAGCACCCAAGTTTCTTCTGACTGCTATCCTCCTCCTCCATCATTACCTTCTAATCTTCCTTCACGTCTCTTAATTAATGATGCTGCATCATCTTCAATTTCTCCTACCTCTGCAGCCTTCGACAACGATCTGAGTCCACAGAACAGCATCCCTGGTCTCCTTAAACCACGCTCCAAATTACATATTGGAGCCTTCAATGTCCGCACCCTCCGTCAAATTGGCCAACAGGCTTCGTTGGCAAAGACTCTAGCAACTCGGGCATGGATGTGTGCTGTGTTTGTGAGACACGCATACAGGACCCAAGTGTGGTTATTCACCTGACCTCTCCTGACCAATCTGGTGAATCTGCAAAATTCACCCTTCGAGTTTCTGGAGATTCGATAGCTAGCTCTCGTGGTCTTGCAGGTGTAGGTATAGCATTAAGCACCAGGGCAGAAAACTCACTACTAGACTGGATCCCAGTTGATAGTCGCCTCTGCGCTATGAGGCTGAACGGCACAGTGAGAACTAAAAGGAATAGTGAGACTCGCCGTTGTCTCTTTGTAATCTCTGCTTACGCACCCACTGACTGTAGTTCGGATGAAGTGAAGGACGAGTTCTACCATAAACTGTCTAACCTCCTCTCGAAAGCCAAACGTTCGGACGTAGTGGTTGTTGCAGGTGACCTCAACGCACAGGTGGGTAGACTGAGTGAGGCAGAAAGGCACTTAGGTGGCACTTTCGGAATCCCAGCTGAACGTACAGATAACGGTGATCGCCTATTACAACTATGCTCAGATAACCGCCTATTTTTAGCCAGCACAAATTTCAGACATAAAGAAAGGCACTGTCTGACCTGGCGTCCACCGAGCTCGACTCAGCGATGGACACAGATAGACCACATTGCTATTAGTCATCGCTGGAGAGGATCGGTGGAAGACTGCCGCTCCTTCTGGAGTACGTGTTTGGACAGCGATCATGCGTTGGTCCGAGCACGTATATGCCTGCGTCTCAATGGACGTAGAAAAAATTTGGCAACAAAACCACTACGAGTTCTGCTGGACAACGAAAACACCAAAGCCGTGTTCAGTGAGAAGTTGGCTAGGCAGTTATCGGAACAAAAGACTGTCACTCATCCAGAAGAAGCTTGGTGCCATCTTCAGTCTACTGTAAAAGCAGCACTGGAGACTGTAGCCGACTCCAAGATAATGGCTAAAAAGAGCCAGTGGATATCAGCAGCTTCTTCCAAACTAATGGATGCACGTGAATGCATCCCTGCAGGCTCTGAGTACAATGAAGAGCGAGCGCAACTTAAAAATGAACTGACGAAAAGTCTGCGCAACGATCGTGAACAGTGGTGGGCAGCAAAGGCTAAAGAGATGGAAAAGGCAGCGGCGATCGGTAACAGTAGACAGTTATTTAGACTTATTAAGGAGACTGGGGGAAATGGTCAACAACAGTTAGTGAGGTTATAGCGGAGAAGGACGGATCTGCGATTCACTCGCAGGGAAGGCGACTGGGACGATGGGCAGAACACTTTGAGGAACAGTTTAACTGGCCTCCAGCCACCATTGCGCTGCCCGCTATCCAGTCGGACCCTGAATGGGACATAGAGACAGGTCCCCCAACACTAGAAGAAGTTGAGAAAGCGGTAGGTAGCCTGAAACGGGAAGGGCAGCAGGACCAGACGGACTACCTGCTGAGGTATACAAGAATGGTGGTAGAGTTCTCTTAGTCAGGCTAACGGAAGTGTTAGCCAGTATATGGGAATCAAATACGATCCCCTCCGACTGGTCTAAGTCACTCATCATCCCAGTCTTCAAGAAAGGCGAGAAGTCCTCTTGTGATAACCACAGAGGAATCAGCCTGACAAACATAGTGTCTAAGATCCTAAGTTCTATAATTCTCCGACGCCTGAGTGGAGCTCGGGAACAGCAAGCCCGAGAAAACCAGGCAGGCTTTAGACCTGGCCGTGGATGTATCGACCAAATATTCACACTGCGCCAGGTCCTGGAACATAGGCATGCTTACAGACGCCCGACAATAGCTGTATTTCTCGACCTGAAGGCGGCATTTGACTCCGTTGATCGAGAAGTCTTATGGCAATGTCTGTCACTGAAAGGCGTGCCTAGTAAGTACATCACCTTATTGAAAGCTCTCTACTCGAACACTTGTGGGCATGTTAGAGCCTATGGCGATAGTAGTAGATGTGAGTAAATTACAATTTTCTGACCAGAGGTGTCTTTGCAGCATTGCTCATGCATGGTGGCATCACTGGGGTGGTTATATCAAAGTTAAGCTATACAGGTATTAGGTAAGGAATACAAGTCAGTCCATGAGGTTATCAACTTTTACCGAACCTACGTAGTGCTACTGCCATCTTAGACGTACAATGTTAGCTGAAGTGGCATTGGGTTGGAAGAAGGCTCAGAGTGACTAGACCAACACACTGTTTGTCTGGGCCATGTAAGTAACCTAGCTGTGATCCTCGAGATAATAGGAATCAATGATTGGAGAACCCTGGTAACTTGCCTTAAAGTCAGCCAGTGGTCCAGATGCCATCTACAAAATCTTGAACATCACGTTATTCCTCTTCTGTATTTTGCTCTCTCCTTTCATACTTAATTGTCTACGTAAATATCATTTTTGCTATTAACTTCTTTCTTGCATGGTTCTGTGAAGTGTAGAAACTGGGATCGATGCATTACTGTGCAAGGTGTGACTTGGACTTGTCTACCTGTCTGACAGATCACTTATGTTGTTAGATTCTTATCTGGCAGCGTGAAATAATTTTTGCCAGTTAGCAATATTTCGTGCATGCTTAGATTTCTTCACTAACAACAAACTCAAATCTTTGTGTGGTTCTATCAGCATAGTATTGTCATCGTTTAGAGTGTTTAGTGCAGCTGTATGGTGAACTTGTCGTAACTACGCAGTTGAGAGTTGCATTACTCAGCTGAACAGCTCTGAGAGGTAACTTGCGCAAACGTCTTATGTATTGTTTTACAGACTTCACGTCAGATAACTAAGAAAACAAGTTTTTAAACTAGGTTTTTTTGTTATAAGAATAAAACTCAGACACTAGTGGAATGTAATTTTAGTTAGTTTGTTAGATGTATCATACAGCAGGATGGTATTACTTACTGGATTAAGCTATCCGAAATTGGTAAATCCTAGTAAAATAAGGGATTTAGAAAAAAGAGCTAATCTACAGGTATGCATGCAATCACACAACCACGCAATAGAATGGGGTAGTGGAAATCCTTAGAACTAATCTAGGGGTGGAGAGAGAGATTCACAACTGAATCTTTGTTTTTCGAATCAACACCCAGTGCTTGCAGCAGGAATGAATAGACACCTGTTCCGGATATATGAAGAGTCTTACTAGCTACATGACAAAGGTGAAAAAACATATCAGTTATGTCTCAAAGTTTTAGAGTTATCTTGATATGACTGAATACAACAAATTGTGCCCGAAACGTAATGCAGTAAATAGTATTGTTCCACTGTGTGACATATAATAAATCAATTAAGTTTTGTTGCATAGTGTAATAGGAAGACGGAAGTTATCTGAGAAATGTGATGTATTCGCTCATTACGTACCGAACAATCTTTGTCTCATTTTAATGCCAAGAGAGGTGTGAAAATGTATAATTCCTCCTTATTGTAGTTTATTTTCCAAATCTTGTATTATCCTTATTTATTTGCTTTGCCGCGCCCTATTTTCATCTTCATGCCTTGGTAAGTAAACTTGTGGTGAGATTATTTGAAATATATTGCACGATTACATTACGTTTCTGAGATAGCATCCGTTTTTTCACATTATGCGAATTCATCAAAAGGATTAAGTGTTTTTAATCCTTGAAAATAAGTTTTTTTTGACTTATGAGACGTATTCAAGCAGCTTGAAATTTAAAACGATGAGATTGTATTTTAGTTGGTTAATTAGGTGTATTACAGTGAAGCAATATTATTTACTGGATTGCGTTTTTGACTCCACTTATTTTCCATAGTCATATCAAGATAACTTCACGACTTTGAGATATGATTTATGTTGTTCTAATTCCCTCAACAGAATGGAAGTAACTTTCATTCTACCTCATTGATCCAGTTTTAATCTTATAATAATAGGCCTTACATTGCTTTTTGTCTAGTAATACAAGAAACTTGCCTGGTGTTTTCAGAAATTGATTCCTATTGTCTTTTAGCGGACTATTTAGTTAGTAACTGGGATTTCTTCCAAATGTATATCTTTATCACAGGTTGATCTAGGTTTTTCCAACAAACAGGTAGTAGGTTGAAATTGGAGTTTTTTTAGGGATATAGTGATTTTTTGTATTCATCATGCGCTGACATCAGTTGGAGGAACATTGGAAAACTGAGAGCATTGGCAACCCGTGAGGACAAATACTCAACGATGGCGTTGGGCGATAGTCACCCTATGTCACGAACTGAGAATATGGCCCACTGGTTTCCAACCCAGTGACTAAATGTTAACGGGCTGGGGTCATAGGTTCTAACTACTGAGAGAAGTCCCGTAATATAAAGAAATAGCTGTCCAGTACTCCTATGTTTCTAATGTTTCTCCACCTGATGTTAGTCCATGATGAGTACCAACTTGAAAACAAGTAGTATATACAAGATGGATAGTGGTTAACAGTGGGATCCAGGGTACGCGTTTCGTCCTATTTAGGATTTGTCAGTACCCACCTCTCACTAAGCGGTGTTGTTCCCACTGGGACAACGACATTCTTACAGAACATAGCTGTGGCGTAGTCGATGTGTACCAGAAGAAAAAACTATAGATATAAGGTCACCAAACACTTTCCAGATATGTGATGTGTACAAGTTAGTTGATGATGGTTCTTAAATGATATCTATTCCCACCGTGTTTATTATTCGACACGTGCGTGTAGACAAGGTTGTGTAATCCATCTACGCAGATAATAGTCTTGAATTATGTGTTTTAGTATTTTCGGGAGTTATGAGTAATGATAGTCAACTAGAGATCTTTCCTACAGTTGGCCTTAAAACAGCCTTTAAATGAATGCATAGAACTTGTAAGTGACTCACCATTTAGTGAATTAAACTTTTGGTCAGTCAGCAAACATTTCATATGACTCTAAAATAAGGGTTGTTAAGGTGAGTAGAATCAAGACAGGTTTTCCTTGACTTGATTACACTTTTGTTTTTTCATCTAGTGCTACTACTACTGGGACTCGTCACATGCATGTAGCTGCCTTCCATTGATGTCTTACTGACTGACAAAATCAACGTGAAACCGCACACAAGTGCATCGGCTCAAGTCACCACACTTTGCAGTAGAACAAAAAGAACAAGTGGGTAAAAAAAGACTGATATCGAAGAAGACCAAGTTGTGTGAGAGCATAAAAAAATCTATAGACGAAGGTTAGTGCAAATATTCAAGCTTTAGATGTCAAGTTGTGAAGACATCTATGCAATTGTGTCCGACTTTCAGCCATACTACCAGGACTCCCTAATCACTAGTTCTGTCGTCTCAGCTACCCCAAGCAGGCAGTCTACGTTTCTCGCTACACAGCTTAGACCAACAGTAAGGGAATTCATCGACTAGTGCCATGTATTGGTCTGGTCACTCTAAACCTTCCAACTTAATCCAATTTACCCTAACATGACACGTTGGCTCGACATATCCACTATATGTCCAAGCCATCTCAGTCGACTAGGGTTCACAACCTCATCAATCGACTTGCCTGTCTTGTCTAGTACCATTCGCCTGACTTCAGCACTGCTCACACAGTGATTCCACCAAACGCGAGCAATACTATGAAGACATCTGCGGTCAAAACCCTACAATCGCTTCATATCCTCTACTTTTAATGGCCATTCCTCACAGCCGTACGACAGGACAGAATGGACTACAGTACGTGAGTGATGTTCCCACTAACGCAGGACTAATCGCTTCGAATTCTAGAGTATTATAGACCTTGGCACACAGTCACGATAGCCACTCCTTACGCGACAGGTATAGTTTAGTAGTTTGATATTATGGCTTGTAAATCTCCGTTGTTGATTTAACCGAAGTGATTGGCCAATTTTAGCATATGGGCCCCTGTGCTGATGCCTCGACATTGCCGATATTTTCACTTTTGATACTAAGGATGAACAGTGTCTATCGTAAATCAGTGGCATAGAGGATTGCGCTCTGGAGTTTGAGGTGATTGGTGTTGGGTTCGAGTCTTAGTGGGAACAGCACCATTCGCTTCATGGCATAATACCCACAGATATACATAATGTATGATACGCAGTAGTAACAAAAAGTTCGAAAGCCTATCAGTTAGTCTTACACATGCTCTTGAAGTATTTTGATCAAAAAGTTGCTGTAAGATTAGTACCGAATTCAGTTGACGAATCGATGCGATCTATATTCGTGGCAACTAGAGGTCTAGAATATCAAAGATTTATGTAAATATATAAAATAGAAGCAAAGGTTATCTGTTGGAGTTTACTTTCATCAAGAAACCTCGATGTGCCGTAAATGGAGTAACCTCTATGGAAGTCTTTTCTTCAAAATATTTTGGTTGAAAAATCCTCTGCATGTACAGAAGGAATTCCGGAGATTATATTCTTAACTTTGATTGAATGTCTTACGGGGATAAAAATTTCTCAACTCAAACAAGATTTTCAAAAGTGAAGAATACAAGTGGCAAATTTATTATATATCAACAACCCATGATGCTTTGCAGTTATGCCATGTAGTGCTTCAATACTGTGAATTTATACCAGAAAATAATTGACCTCCCTATTCATACCAGTGTTACAGTCAGTGATATATGTATGTGTGTAAATATAATTATCGTCTGGTTGCAATTTGAATGAGAAAAACATTCTGCTGTTCGGGTTATCACTAGATGAAAAGATTCTTTGTAGAAGCACTGAAGAGAAAAAAAACAGGCTGTGTAAATAAATAATCAGCCTTTACATACCTGTAGATAAAATGTAGCATCACCATCATTGTATCTGCATAACTTCTCTGACTAACCCGACGATCGTATTCCAAAAGTCCCTATATATTGTAATTGCTAGCTGTATGGGGGTCGAAATTTACAACAATATTGATGTTTGTCTTATATACATTCACAAGGAAGCAGAATCTGACGGGCAGTAAATAAATATGCCGTAGCACTACTGACAAACTTCAATGATCTGGAACTAATTATAATTACCGGTTAAATGTTCTACATCCAGCATTTAAGCCATCAATAAAGTACTGGTTATCACATATTTAATTTGCATTTAATCCCATCGAGGTCATTTGCAAAACTGAGTCATATCATACATACATAATAAAATCTGCGTTTTCTGGCAACTAAAGCTTGCTGGGTATGCTTGATTTATATTCTTTGTAGTCAGTAAAATTATGTGTAAATGGAAAAGCCTAAAAGAACGTCCACTTTGAAAAGACGAATCTATGGTGATTGCTCATCCAAAATCGACTTTTTCATACGCTTTCTAAATTACTTAAACCTGGTGTTTTTGTGTTGATTTTCATTTTGTTATGGAATCAGTTTTAACTGCAATATTGGTTTTTCAAGTTGCTATTTATCGTCAACTGACATCAGTTGGAAGAACATTGGCGACCTGGGGGCACTAGACAGGTTTTTCGCCCTATTATGGGACCCTTCAGCAATGAGCACCCATGACCCCGAGACAGATCGAACTCAGGACCTTCAGGTTCTGTGACCAGCACGTTACCACTGAGCCACTGGTTCGGAATCCAGTGGTTCGTACTCCCAAATTCTGTCACTTCACGACATAGGGCGACCACCACTCAATGTTATCATCGAGTATTTGTCCTCAGGGCCACCAGATTGTTAAATTTTTTTCCTCATTGATAACTACTTACTCATTTTGCTACATACTCTTGGTTTTTTTGACTACAACGCATCACTATTATACCGTAATTATTTATTCATACTGTCAAATACATCTTACGTGACTTTCATTGTAGTATGATTTTCCTGACCTCAAACTATGGAGAATTTCAAATTTTACAGACCTAATAGACGTTCTATTCCATTTAGCTTATATACTAATTTTGATTGAATGCAGCTACTTAGTTTCCTGATAAATGAGATAAAGTGTTTTTCAGTACTATTTAACCTAATGGTTTTTTGTATATTTATTCGTAACTTAAACGTTCATTAACTAAATGCACGAATGCATATTTTATATGCTGAAGTGCATTCTACCTGCTTGACTTTGTTATGTAATTATAATTATCTTTGGTATTCTATTAAGCTGTTTCAGAATGGTCTTGTTCTAGCATTCATGAATGTTAAAGTGTTGTCGGATGTTAACTTTAAAATACAATGAACATAAAAACAAGCCACTTTTCTAATGTTCAGCGCAACTGATGCAAACAGGTGCTTATTCATTGTACTTTGAATACTTTACTTCATTACACTCATTTCAATTAATATCCCGGTAATTTTCAATTCATATGTCGCATGCTGTTAAGTTTTCTAAAAGTGAAGTCTGACTGAGACCAGATGATGACATCCACTTGCAAGTCTTTTGTAGGTTACAGCTCCGTGAACTGAATCTAGTTAGTTACATCTAGTAAATTTCACTCACCTACCTGAAAAGGTTTAAATTTCGTGGATCTTACACACTTAAAGTACTTACATGATTGTCAGGTGCATTGACGTAAAGCGTTACAACAAGATTCATCAATAAGGGTATAGTTAAAAAAATTATTACTATTATTATTATTACCACTCGCAGTTTTGGAAGATCAAATCGAAATCTTGTGCAGGAATAATTTGTGCACATATTTTATATTCTAAGGAGGAAAATCCAATATCAGCTCCTTTCTTTCTTTACAAACTAGTATACCAAATTATCAGGACATACAGAATGCTTGGTCATCACTGAGAATTTCAGCTGTTGATTTCAAATAACCGCTAATTGAAAAAGTATGTTCTACAACTTTAGATAATTTGCCTTCTCTTGTATTGTGCAACTATTTCATTATGGGTTTAGATATCACTCTATCTATTGATGTTATAATAGGTAGATGGTATAAACTATCACATAATTGGTATGGTTTCAAACTTGGTCAACAGATGCGAAGTCATAAATTATCATGTTAATCTAGTTGATGGTTTGCGGTAATTACTTGGTTTCAATCTAGTTTTCACCACAAATTGATGTCAGCTGGGGAGTCTTTGAAAACATAGAAGCACTGGGCAGCTGTTTCATCCTGATTTCCGACTTCTTGTCAGTGTGCACCCGTGTCTCTGAAAGTGATCAAGCTCAGAACTGTTGGGTCTCAACGCAAACACATTCTCATCTAACCACTGCATCGCAGTCCAATGGTTCATTATTTCTTACTTTTGTCCCTACACCCGAGCTGATTTACCTCACAGATCTCAGTTTCTCTTCAGAATTTTATGAAATCGATGTTGAAGCAAATCACTAGTAAACACTGGAGAGTAATTCAGTTGGTCGTTTGTGGAGATTTATTTTTGGTATTATCGACTGGAAATGTAATGATGCTGTAACATGAAACGCAAATTAATAGTACTCAACAAATGTGTTCCTCTTCATAAAATTGGCTGGGATGCAAACTTACGATGCAATATGTAGTGACAATGTCCAACTCGTTCGTCATCAAGTAATGGATCGTGGTCTGAACCCGTGTGATATTGTTTGAGAGTGGTTCCATTTAGATAAGTTATATGCCTGAAGTGATGAAAAAACTCTTAATATCATAAACTGTGATATTACCATGTAAAATTTGGGAAGATTTTCTTTACTATACTTGACGAGTAGTTGTTTTATCTATATCTATCCGCGGACTTCAGGTTAAGTACTGTTTTTAAAAACACTGTAATTTCAGATTGATTTTTCATTTTCATTAACTATTCTAAGGGCTAAAACTCTATAGTCGACGGTAACTGATTTTTTAGTAGGTGACACGTGAACCCATACGATTGGAATCACCTAGGTTACCACAATATCAAGTTTTGTTATCCTTTTGGTAGATATTTCAACAATGTCCCTAAAGTGCGTTGACATTTGGGATGGTGAGTCTTGTCATTGAAGTATTCATCAGTTTTCTTATGAATAGATTTAGGATAGTTAAATTACGTATTTTGAATTAAAAATTTGGCAATAAATATGCAGACCAAAAAAGATTGCTAACAGTATCGAAGCGTCTACGGAAAGAATCAACCGGTAAGTTGACAGAGACTGATTTATTCACTTCCGTTGGTCAACGACGAGGAACGTCAGAAATTTCTTTAATAATACATTCTAGTTTGCTATTTGTTTAGTTGTTTACCAAGTTGATAATAAAATTTCTCCCTGATGTCGGATGGTTTGTATTACTTAAGTGAAAAATCATTTCATGTTCATTTGAACTCATATTGCACAATATATAGACAGTATCGAGGATACATGGTGAAAGATTTGCTTTCACTGAATTTTTGTAATAACTCGATTGGTGGCAATAGATTTAGTGCATGCCTTTTGATGGGCCTTTAGGAATACTGACTGCTTTAAGTGAATGGATTTTTATCTTTCCGTTAATGTCTGATAGAACAGCTAACCAACACTTTTAGTATAGCTCAGAATAAGACTGGCGATTCGGATATTTTATCCTTTTGAAAGAAAAACTGACCCATACGCTTGCATTGAGATTTATCTTATTCACCGAAATGGTTAGAAATAGAAATTTATTACGAAAGAAACATTTGGAGTTTTTTAACAATTCGAATGTTACTGCAGTTTGTTAGTGAACTTTCAACCTACCTGAGGTATGTGAAAGAGAAATTAGATTAGTAATAGAAGTCCATGACCATAAAGCCCGGGGGTAGATTTTAATCTAAGTTTGATATTGTTATGTTAGAACATGAAAAACCCAAACTATCCTCGGTGGGAGACCATAGAATGAGGAGAAGTTTCATATCCCAAAAAAGTTGGAACGTACTTATCAACCAGATGTACGTCCATACAATTAGCGATATGCTACACGCATTGTGTAAGATCTAATGATGCTATCTGGGCAGTGAAATACCAGTTATTGGGTCAAAATCCGCATTTATGATACAGACTAAAAGTTGAACCTCTAGACTAGTGATACTTCTAGGGTCAACCTTTTATAACGCTTCCTTACAATATGAAAGGCATCATCAGTGTGGAATGATGATCATCTACACAAAACCGCTTACATCTGTCATACTTGGTTCAGCCAGCAGTACAGCTTTAACATCAAACCCTAATCGTTGCACAAGCTATTTACACTGAGAGTAACTGGTTTTATTCTTACCTTTCTGGTACATTAAGACCTCCAGAAAACATCGTTCCAGCCAGTACAACCAGATGAGTCGTTGCGATAGGTAAATCTAACCACCACGTTAGGGTAGAAGCTGTCGACCTGGAATTCTTAGTCACACTGATTTTAATCAAATACATAGTGCTTCATCCGAATTTATTTGATACAACCTTGATAACTATTTCAGATATAGACGATTTTCATGCACTAAGGGTAATGTTTTTTAATATCACAAACCAACGAATCTTGCGATATTCTGAAAATATAATTTCTTTCTTTGTTGTTTTGTGTTCTCTGAACTGGGTGGTTTGATCGTGAAACTTTCATAGTCTTTGTAGACATCATCAGCGCTAGCTCGAAAACCAAGTGAGCTGTCAGTATTTCGCCGTGATTGATTCAGGTTGATCCTTCCATAAATAAAGAGCATATCAGGGATCATGTCAAGATTGCTGAAACCATTTTGGACTGATGTGACTCATAAACCAACAAACCCCTCCAAACCATATTATGCAAACGATGCGACGCAACGGCCAAAGAAGAGAAACCAAATATTATTTACAAAATCAGTTGCAACAGTTGCGATGAGCACTACATTGGCGAAAGTAGCCGCACTCCGCCTTCGTTTACATGAAAATCAGTTGGCTTCCAGATGTCATGACATTTTGTCGGCCACATCAATGCACATAAACAATTACGAACATGAATTCTGTTTTTAAAATCAAGAGATCTTGAACAGAAGGGAAAACAAATGTCAGAGAATTCCTGTAAGTTTGACATTCAGGTCAGTCAGGATAAATATACATATAGATACAGACGCAGTCTATTAACTGATAAGAAAAATAAACAGTTACAATGTTAGAGGTCAGGTGGAGCAATAGTCAGTAGGAAAATCTATGCAGTCAGTGACACAGCAATCAAAGGAAACTACTAATAGCAAAAAATCTCCTCAGGGAGAAATACTGATAGCTCACTTCATATTAGAATTATTGCTGGTGACTTTTTCGATAGAGAGAATAGAAGCTTCAAGGTTAAACCGAAATATTCGTACCAGTAAGTTCCACAGTTCATTCCTGTCCACTTTAGCATACCGTTGTACACAAAAGGTGCTTTTAACCCGCAAAGTATGTAAATTCAGTGTATTTCATTTTGGCATACAGTCTGAACTATATGGAGCAACCTCATTCCTCAGTAATTTCGTCGCATTATCTCTCCTGTTATGACCAGTTTTCTAAAAATGCTTTAAAAACAGAGTGCTCAAACTCTACGTGGTAATTCCTACAAGTTTCTTCCTAAAACCGTTTTCCGACCTACCTTTCTTCTCGCTTCTTCATTTTCGTTGCAGTAAACAGTATCATAGACTTTACTTCTTGTATCAATCTTATGGTAGCTTTTGAATTTTTGAACGTAAGCTATAATCTTTCACACTTTTCCTCATACTATCATGTACAAGTTCGTAGTACGCATATTGTCGCCTTTCCTACTCACTCACCTTTGACGGACTCAGTGATCATTTTAGTTTTTTGGAGGGCTACAATTTTCTCTTATCTCGATAGTTCCTAGTTTCTTAAAGATACAAATCCAACACGTATCGTGACTGCTTTCAGCGTTTATTTGGGAAATCTTTTGCTGTTTTTTTCCAGTAAAGCTTTAACACCATTGTTTTGCTCTAACTTAGTGAAATTCATAAGTACACAAATTTAGGACATTAGGAACACAATTTCTGTCACTTACTCAGTTGTTTACAAACAATAACTAAAATCTGAATACACACAGCAACCACATCCATGTTCTGGCAGTAGGCAATGAGCCACATCTACTGTGTGAGGGCTAATGATAATATCCAGAACTCGGTAGGTTGGACTGGGTTCTAACCTGCAACCCATCGGTTTTGTTGACCAAGAAGCCTCAGCTTCACAAACATATAGTGTGAAAACAAGAGACAACACAAACTAATTAACTGGAAACTGTACTAGCAGAAACAATAAGATCAAAGTAGGGAGGAAAGACTATTCATTGCAATGACAATTAAACAAGCATTTTAT